CAAAGATTTTAAAGATAATCAAATAATTTCTTGTGTTGATTATTTTCTAAAGATTAAAGAAGTTGAACGCCATATTTATTCATATCCATATAGACTGAAAGATTACGAGAGAATTACAAATAATTTTCCTGATGGATTCTTTCAATATGTTCGTGAAATATCATTACTGGATGAACTTCCATTTGAACATGAATTTTCTCTTCGAATTGCTCAATCATTTCCAAATATGAAAATTTTAACTCTAATTAATGATCAGCCCCAAAAGAACAAACTATATAGTCAATCGAAGAACAATAATCATGATTCTTCAATTACTAGATATCTTCATCTCACGGAACTTGATCTAAGTGAACCTCACAATGAATTATATTGAAGAATTTCTAATTGATTCGATGACATCTTTACCGAATAATGTTGAACTTTCTATCGATTATGAAGCATTGAAAAGGGTGACACAAGATTTTACAAGAACTACAACACAAGTCAATTGTACAAAACTAATTTCTTTAACTTTATATGATAATCAGAGATAATACTTTATGTTATTTTACTTTGAAAGAATCAAATGAATCATACTACTTTCAATTTTATGTTGATTTTCTAGTCCAATACAATACATTGCTAATGCTGCATATATCCATATGTTTTTAGAACTATTTTCCGATCAAAAAAGTAGAAAACTAAGTAAAGTTGCTAATTTTACTATCAAGGGGTAGAGTCTAGGTCTGTAATAGGTCAAGGTATTTTCGATCAGACCGAGGCGGTTAGTTCGGTCTTTTCAACTGGATCGAGTTCGACAGTGGCAGGCTGCTTCCATAACACAATAGAACCGCTAAAAACAAGCGGTTTATAAGGTTCAACTCGATGGGACTGATAATCGGGAAACCGACCGATCCAATTCCAATCCTGCTTTAGACTTTAAGGCACGTTTAGTGTACTGTCCGTTTCAAAATATAGTGCGCGCCACTGTTTTTTAAATAACTCAAGAACGCACCGAGCTAGTGACCTGAGGTTTTCACCAATCGATAGATGAGACAGAGGGACGTCTTTTTCTCAGATAATGTGTCAGGCGAAGTCCTTTTAAAATTACTCATCTTTGAAAGACATGGAAAAGAATGTGTGAAAATGACTTGCCATCCAGATGAAATTTTCAGTTTGACCTTTGATTTAGATAGAGGGAGTTGAGATCTACAGTTCAAGATACAATGCAAATACTTTTCTTATTGCATTCTAACGTTGACCAAACGGAACCATGCATTTAAATACGCAAATAATAAGGAATTTTACTGATTTTTTTTACTATGTTTTTGCATTTTTATCATAATAGCTGGACATTTCGATGAAAACGTAAGGAAAAGCAAGAAAGTGCATTGTATCTTAAACTGTAGATATCAAGTTCCTCTATCTAAATCAAAGGTCAAAATCAAAATTTCATCTGAATGGCAGGTCATTTTCATGCATTCTTTTCCATGTCCTTCAAAGATGAGTAGTTTTAAAAGGATTTCGCCTGACACATTATCTGAGAAAAAGACGTCCCTCTGTCTCATCTATCGATTGGTGAAAACCGCAGATCACTAGCTCGTTACATTCTTGAGTTATTTAAAAAACAGTGGCGCGCACTATATTTTGAAACGGACAGTTGTTGTGTCGTCCTAAAACTTTAAGAAGCTGTCCGCAATTCTCTAGTTTGGAAAAACATATTTTTTTTATGGAATTGTGGTTTGGAGTGATCGTCATCTGTTCGTGCTACTGAACTTGATGAACAAACTGAAACATCTGGACCGTATCTAATTCCGTTTTCTTAAAGAAACAGTCGTATAGCGATAAATATTGCGCTTAAAAAGACATGAATGTTTGTCTCTCCGTTTTGTTCAAACAAGTCAGAGTTTAGGATTAGAAAATATGATGTTCCAAACCATTGAACATGGGCAGATATCTGTATTAAACTTGATCAAACTCAATCGAAGACAAAGAACTGAAACTTGAGGTTTGTTTGTCATTTATATATGAATCACATATAGAGATATTTCTATAAAACGATCATCGCTAAAGAGTGGATGTTTGTTTCGTAGCTTTCATGTGATCAAGGAGATTGAGATATAATATAATCCAAATGGAAATTTTCTTTCAGAAAAGGATCAGTGAATCCGTAGGATGAGTGTTACTTGTTGAGATAGTTGCAAATATCTTAAGACAGTTTGGAACATAGACTTTCCTCATAGAACAGAATCTGAACGATGCTGACATCTTTCTTTCTTTTTTTATTTTGTTGCCATCAACACAAGTCATTACACCATCGATAGAAATCTACGACACACTATACATTATATTAACAACACCTCGAGACAGACGAAGCGGAATAATTCAAATCAAACTATGACTTCATTTCATACACTACCCGTAGAACTCGTCTATCGAATTCTCGATCGTCAAGATATATTAACTATTATATGTTCAATGCGTAATGTATGTCAACGATTCAATACGATTATTGATAGTTACTATCGATATCAAGTGAGTCTAATTTTCGAAGACTTTTCCATTCGTATTTTGACAATGAACTAAAAATTAATGTTCTCTCTTCGAACTTCTTTGTGCAGACGCTTGAGCAACTCGAAGTCGAAGATATTAAAATTACTGATATCAAAGCACAACTCTTGGCTAACACATTAAAAATGAATACGGTAATAGTCATTTTCTTTTGATGAATCTCTATCTTTTCGTATAGACAATTACTGCATTATATCTCATGGGAAATCAAATCAGTGAGAAAGGACTTGAATATATTGTTGATGCCATTAGACCAAATACAGTAAGTATTATAGAGATACTATCTATCTATCTATCTAAATATCGATGTTTTCTTTTTTTGATCCAGACACTTACCACCCTTAGTATTTCAAATAATGGACTTGTATCCGATGAGCTGAGATGTTTACCTAATATGATACGATTCAACAAAGTAATTATCATTCATTGTTCATATGCTTATAAACTAATATTTATACGTAGACACTTACTGATCTTGATCTTAGCTATAATCAAATCAATGATAGAGGAGCATTCTATCTAGCCGATGCATTATCATATAATACAGTAAATATTATTCATTCTTCGATCATCTTTATTTCTATATAATTACATAGACATTGACTGCACTCGATCTTCGATACAATCATATTGAAGATGATGGTGCAAAGAATCTCGCTGATGCTTTAAAAGAAAATACCGTAATCTATTCATTCTTTTTCTCTTTATTTCGTATACGAATTCGATTATCTAGACACTGACACAGATCTATCTTGGCGACAATTGGATTTCAAAAAAACTCGAAGATCGCATCTATAAATATGTGAGCCGAAATAAGAATCAATCCAAATCTAGAAAACGACGTCGAACATCTAGTCCTACCAATTTAGAATAGTGATTGCACACAAAGTGAAAATCTGATTGTTGTTGAGAATCTATGATTTTTCTAACTTTCTTTTAATAGAAGAAAATATCCTTAAAAAAGAATAAATGCACAAATTTATATATATACATATGTGCATAATGTAAGAAAAAAATGATTGAAGATAAAGTTATTTGCGACCGAAAACAATTGCTAGAATGATCACTAAGATAATGATGACAATAGCAACGATACCCACAATAATAAACCATTTCTTGAAACGAAAAAAAAAAACAAAAAAAATTGGAAACATTAATAGATAAGTTCATGAATAATCGAATCGAGACTTACCCATCGAGCTGCATCTTGAAATCTTTTAGCTTTTTCAATTTTTGTACCTCCAGTTTTGATAGCATTTTCAGATTGTATGACGGCATCTTCAATTCGTAGAATCACTTCACCCTTCAATGAAAAAATATTCAATGTATGCAAAAAGAAACATAAATATTTTCACTTGTGTTTGAACAAGTTCCATCATATCAGAGAATATATCATGCAATTCTCTGATATTGTTTTCTAATCTCATAATATCACTATGTCGTGCTTCCATATCAGTAAGCGATTGTTTAGCTTGTTCTGTTTCAACCATAATCTATCGAAAATTTCATGTAAAATAATTTCACAAAACTGAATAATTCTTTTTAACTTACATCTTGCGTAAATACAGCAGGATTTCTTGATTCAATCATTGCTTCCATTTGTTTATCGGTCACTGATCGTCCAACTAAATAATAATTCATTTTTTAAAACTTGTTTTCTTTTATGTGAAAAATAAAAGCAAAATGAACTCACTAATCTCAAGCTGACGCTGTAGTATTTCTTTGTATTTTTGTCGATAGCCCAATTGAATTTGCTCATAATTATTCATTACATTCCAAAATTCTTGTTTCAAGAATGACAACTAAAATAGCATAATTTGATGCGAGTATTGTATTGTCTCTTATAATTAGTACAAATTCACTACCTGCGATTTTTCAAATTGTAATTCTGCTTGACGATATTCGTGATTGCTCGTAATTTTGTTCCATTTCTGGAATATAGGAGAATAAGAAAAAAATCAATGGTAACTTAACTTACTTTTTAAATTTTGTCGAACATCGGTAGCTAATTTTTTAATAGTGGCCATTTTTTCGTCAAGTACTTCTTTGATTCGATCATTCACTTGTGGTTCAGCTAACATTGTTGAAAGAAGATGTTTAACTTCATCCACAAGTTTTCTTATTTTATCAATATCTGTATGTGATGAATCGAAATGAGCGAAAAAAAGAAGTTAGACATAAATAGGTGATTACCTGTCATATTGGTACGCGGATAATCGATGTTTAGTTATTGAATAAGAATATTAACGATTCAAACTATAAATATACCGATAAACTTCCGTTTTTTATATAGAAAAAGAAACATCGATGACTCATTATAGGATGTGTATGCAAATGGGATTTGTCCTTCACATGACACATACCTTGCACACAGTGACTAATATGAGAACGCATGGGAGTTAGTAGTTTTTTAAACGACTCAGAAAGTATTTATGACTCATCACCTATAATCACTCTTGAATAGTAATGTTTCTTCGATAAAATGAGACAGAGAATATGACATCATCATTTGTGCTTTGCTCTTTTACAATCATGTTTCTCTTTTTATTTCGTCAATTTTCTGGTCACATTTGCATAACAATAAACATTACTATAGAGGTTATTGAAAAATTAGGAGTTGACCATACTAAAAGAACACATCATTCTTTGTACAACATTTTACATTTACAAAACATAAAAACAGATACGCAGTGTCTCGTGCACTAAATGTTTTACCTTCTCAACCGGGTGTGGTGTGGGTGGGTGTGGGTGTGGGTGTAGATATAAGTCAACAAAAGAGGAGTATCCACACCCACACCCACATCCTTTCAAGGATCAAAGAAATCTCGAATTTAAACAGTCAATCGAGGGCAACTGATGTCAAAAAGCGAAATAGATGCACTGAGAAGGGATACAACGACTTGTTTTTTCGCCAATCAACTTCTTTCTACAACTAAATGTGATCGGGTTGCGAATATTTGCGGCAGAATAGATGTTGGTTAGAAGTCTTCATCCAATGACGGCTTAGAGAAAGTTCTGGTTAAAATTAGAATCTCAGACGACACAGACATACCATTCGCAGACTGGGAGGGGCTGAGTTCAAGTAAAGATGAGAAAGAAGTCTTGTTTACCGCTGGTACATCATTGGAAAAAATCGATTTGACATATAACAAAAACCTTGATTATTGGACACTTCAATTTGAGACCACTTCTCTTAGTCTTCAAGATGATTTGTATTACGACAACAACCTTGATGAAGTAACAAATTGTCGACTGGAAAAGAAAAGCAAAAACGAAGTTGATCTTATTCTTGCTGGATATTGAATGGGCAAAAAGACTTCCAATCATAAGAGAGTCGCTAAATATTACGATTTACTACGCAAGTTTTTGTCACATAGTTTTAGTGACGGTGCACAATACTGTGGCCTTGGTTTAAATGCATTTGAGCAAGATAATTATGAATTGGCTTTGAACTGTCAAAACAGGGCTTTAGAAATTTACCATCGAAACCCGTCTGTAACCAACGTATGTCATGACAAGATGGATTCGAATGAGCAATCTAAGCGACGAGATCTTTATCATCACCGCATCGTATTTGCAATTCATAATTGTATTGCTTCTATAAATTTCATAAAAAATAGATGTAATGACTTATTACAAAGTTATAAACAAGTTATCGTTATTGGACTGAGTTGTTTCTTTTCTTGGACTTTGAATGACAAGTTAGAGCGATACTTACGATATGCATACAAATGTAAGCAGGAGGGAAAATACTGTCTAATATATGCTATCAACGATGTATTTAATAATGCTATGAGCAAGGATGTATCTTTTAAGCTCGCTTTTGAATCGTGATTAAATGGAAAACTACATAATCCAGAAATTAATGAGATGTTTTACCTTGTGCTGTTGAATATGAGCGAAGGAGATTTTCTAAACGCAATGAAACAGAATAAAACTTTTATTGAGTATATTATTCATAAGAGTAAAAATGACAAGAAACGTTTTCTCATGTGTCGACACCTGGGTAATATGTGCAGTGATAAAAAACATCTGGATTTAGCGCTATCGTGGTTCAACGAGGCACTGAAGTATGTTGAAAATGAGAAGATTGAAGACTACTTAGAACATATTGCAAAAATGTATCTAAGTAGTCAAAATCCGGATTATGTTAATGAATTCCTGCACGAAGTTCATAGTTGTCTTATACATCAAAATCTACCAGCAGAGCTCATCAACAATATTTTGGAAAAAGTAACAATTTAATGCAAGAAAATAACTAATAAGAACGAGGCTCTTGAATACTACGATCATATATTCGATACTTATCGGAAACTCAACGATAAAGCACCCTTTTTCTGTCTCTATAAACAGCTGGGATATTCATATAAAATGAGAAATTTATACGATTTGGCTGAACAAATGTATCGATTGGCATCATCAACGTCTGATAATATCACGACAATCTTGAGTGATGCTTAGAATAACTACATGTACACTGTAAGAGAAAAAATAAACGCATGAGCTATGAGCAGTCATTCTATTCCGCTATGTTGAACATTCCGGAACCAGTTCCGACCCCGGAATCGTTTCCAGCGATTCCGGAATCGAATACAAACTGAGTATGCAATAATTCCTAGGAATTCCGTTTAATTCCGGAATTCCTCAATTAAGCAGTACCGGAATCGGTTGGAATTGGCAGGAATTCCATGCAATTCCGTCTAATTCCGGAATTATAACCTCTGTTTTTGTTCCATCAATCTTCATCGATGTAATAACCATCCGAATCCGCTTACGAATTCCGCATTTGTGCGGATCCTGAATCGGTATGAATTGGTAGAAATTCCGTGCAATTCCATCCGATTCCGGAATTACAACTTTTATTTTTATTTTATCAATCTTTATCCATGCAATGATCATCCGATTCCGCTGAGGAATTCCGCATTTGAGCGGATCCGGAATCGGTGGGAATTGGTAGGAATTTCGTGCAATTCCATCCAATTCCGGAATTACAACTTGTGTTTTTATTCTATTAATCATTACCGGGGTGGGTAAGGGTGCGGGTGAGGGCGTGGGTGTGGACGTGTGTGTGGGTGTGAGGGTGGGGGTGAGTGTGTGTGGGTGGATGTGGATGTGGGTGTGAGTGGGTGTGGATGTGGGTTTGGGTGTGGGCTTGGGTGAGGGTGTGGGTGCAGGTCTTCTATTCATACAGATCCACTGAGACTGACATCCACACCCACACCCACACTTTCACCCACATCCAAATGAGCGATTCCGGAACCACTCGGAATTTCGCGGAATTGCTTGCAAATCCTTACGATTCCGGATCCGGATGATACCAGGAATTCCTTCGTGGAATTACAACCAGTTATAAGCCTCAGGCGATGACTATGATATCAAGTCGAAGCGATTCCGGAATCACTAGGAATTCCGCGGAATTCCTTCGAAATCTTTGCGATTCCGGATCCGGATGATACCCGGAATTCCTTCGCGGAATTACAACCAGTTATAAGCCTCAGGCGATGAATATGACACCAAGTCGGAGCGATTCCGGAATCACTGGGAATTCCGCGGAATACCTTGCAAATCCTTACGCTTGCGGATCCGGATCATACCAGGAATTCCTTCGCGGAATTACATCTAGTTATAAACCTCAGGCGATGACTATGATATGAAGTTGGAGCGATTCCGGAATTACTAGGAATTCCGCGGAATTCCTTCCAAATCCTTACGATTCCGTATCCGGATGATACCAGGAATTTCTTCGTGAAATTACAACCAGTTATAAGCCTCAGGTGATGACTATGATAGCAAGTTGGAGCGATTCCGGATTCGTGCGATACCCGGAATGAGATGCAATTATAAGCCTCAGCCGATGATAGTGATGCCAAGGCTGAGCGATTCCGGAATCGATAGGAACTGTAGCAAGTGATTCCGGAATCGGATTGTGGGGTGTTGAAATTATTTCCGGAATTGTTGGAATATATTCCGGGACCGGAACTGATGCCGGAATGTTCAACATCGCGGAATGGGATGTATTCTCTGAGCTATGGCATAAAGCCATAATAAATAATAACAGATATAGCTGATCTTCTAGTTTTAGAAATAGATTTGTCATATTAAATGAAAAGAAAGTGCAGTAATAGTAGTTAATTTAACATATTT